GTCATTTACAAGCTTTCCCTGGTGGCTCAAAAAGTAGCTAAGCACTGGTTTGAGGATTACCAAACTCTAAGTTGTTGATTTGCTCTCTAAATTGTTGGGATCTCAACCTGCTGTCAACATCTTGGTGCCGGATGCCATAGCCATGAAGTCGATGCCTCAATGAATCAGAGCTGTTTTGAAAGCCTGCACGCTATTAGAGAAGTGGTCATAATGTTACTCTTGATCACTATAAATAACCATAATGTTGAACTAATGTTTTCTTCACCAGGAGCCTTGCCCATTTTTAACACCAGACCTTTTAATGCTCAACTGTGTGAACGCTCTGTTCAGAGGAAAAAATGTCATCAGGTCTGCTTCTTGGCCCTCACCACAGAGATGAAAGGTGTCTACAAAGCAAATACTCAAGACAAACCACTAAGGCAAACAAGTAAATATTCCAAACGCTCCTTTTGACCATAGAGAAAATAATATTTACTCATTGACTACAGCATTGATGTTTCAGGAGGAAACAATTGTGAAGACAGATGACAGAAAAATATGCGTCCCAGTTCTTGCCAGGCCACACGCAGACTCCCTCTAATTAGCTTTAGGCCGTCACAATGTGAAGGAATGCACTATGAGAGTCACGCAAACATGGCTGCCACCGTGCACACCTTCACTTAGCCTGGAGGTCTAACGACCTGTTTACATTGTGGTCACCCAATATGAGCCTGGCAACAGCGGTGCGTTTCATAAGCGCCATCTTAGTCACTTACTGCACAGCAGACGAGATCCTAAAACGACGGCATCTCACTACGATAACACTGGATGATGGTGAATCTGAGCAGTTTAACCCTTCCATGCCTGAATTACAACAGTCTCGATAAGTTTTGTTTTCACCCGTTTTCATTCATGATTTACTTTAAACTCGTACAGATAAAAGCGTGTTCACTTTCCACTCTAAATATGAAATACGTATTTTACAAAGAAACGATTATGATATGTTGTGCAAAAAAACATCAAATGTTGTTACTAAACTAACACGGCCACATGTTTGAGAAATTTCTACGATGTGGAAAAATTTTAACCCCGTTTTTGACCTTCATGCTTTAAGACATATAGATGTCGTCAACGGCAAACAAAAAGGAGAAACGCAAACTGAACTCATAGATATAGAAAAATAATTCAAATCATCTGACATCATAAGTAAGGAAAGAAGTCTCCTAGACTAAAACAGCTTCTGAGTTTCCTATAGCATCTGATATCTTGCTATCTTTTATGATCTACAGCATCTCGAGCTCCCATCAGCGTCTTCCTTGAGGGCTGATGTACTGCATGTTTCAGGAGTGTTCCTCCTCCAAATTAACCTACATTTAAGCCCTGGAAATCATGTATTTGATTCAAGTGTGTTTAAGAGCTAAAACATGGCTCACGTCGAGCCTCGTGAAGTAGAATTCCCCCGCATGTCACTCCTCCTTTTTCTGAGTGATATAAATAGGCACCGTCAGTGGCACCTTCTTCAGTTTACCTGGATATAAGTTATACAGTATTCCCTGTATGTCTTTCTGCGGACAGGGTATTGTAGTCTTAACTGTAAAGTTGCTGTCCCATTGTTTCCAATCAACACAAAAACTGTAAATTGCACTCCCACGGCCAAAAACTGCAGAAAAAGTAGCTAATGTAGAAGTATTATCGGGAATTGTGCTTTCAGGCACAAAGACGCACGATGTCACTTTTCATGGACAAACGATGACTGACAATTCTCTCCAAACATTAAATCAACGCCTGTAACATCAATCCTCCATTGTTACGCGATGCTGCCGTCACTATCATGTGCCCACACCGTTTGGCCATTAAGTGGATTGTACGATGTGACACATTAACGTCCAAAGTGGCGGCTTTTGTGCAGCTGTGTGACAAACACTCACACGAGAAGCTTTTGAATCGCTGTCCACTGCAGTCCTCACTTTGTGCAAAAATTCACTTAATGTCCTGACCCAAATTCATGGCGACTGTAATTATTCTTGACAACTGAGATCATACAAATAACTCACTTCTCGAGCCTACGCTCATTTTATCTGTCCCATTTGGAGCACTTATTAGCGATTGTTTCCACTGTGTTGGCTACTCCTATGGCTGTAATAATCCTTCTGCCTTGGGCATGCTTGAATTTTACATCATGACCAAATATTTGCAGAAAAATAAATGTATAGAGTCAGGGGAAGGGGAAAAACACAGTCATAAAAATCATCACCCAAAAGGGAGACCTTTAATAAACTGTAATAATATTAATAATAAACAATGTGGCGTACTCGTCCTTAGAAGTAAAATCCAAATCCAAATCAAGCCTTTTAATAGAGATGGGAAATAAAGGGTTATTATTTCCATTAAAATGTCTTAAAAATTTAACAGCACAACCACATCATTACGCTGGTGCCCAGCTTGCATTGTCACAGCGAAGAATGGCCCGGGAATAGCCAAGAACGTTTACCGAGCGGATATTAATTGATTTGTCCTGACCTACCCAGACCTGGCCTCCCTGGGCTCGGCTTCCTCAGCAGAGCCATGCCAAAGCTCTGTCCTAACTCTGCATAAAAATAAATGAGAAGCCGTGGGGCTGTAGTCTCTAAAGCCAGGGGATATTGTTCGATTTCACGTCAGCCCTCCAGGAGGCAGTTTAAACAACCCAGCATGCTAATAAGCCCCCGTATAAAAGGCATTTCTGGAGGGGAGCCCATTCTTCTTTTAGCACTCTTTTTTTTTCTTTTCTCTATTGCAACAAGGACGAAAGGGCATAAACAATATAAAGAAGTGCAATCTTGACCTGATCTTAAATAGCTCACTCCTGCGTAATGGTTTGTGTACCACAGATCATTGTTTGCACTTAAAAACTAACTAAAAAGGTTTTTTGATCAATAGAACTGAAGCACTGCTCCTAGACTGGGATCCGAGGAGACAGAGCCCCACAAATAACTCCATACTCCAATAAAGCCTCGGTATTTGTTGTGGCCACAGAAATACGATATTGTTCATTCTGCTCGTGTGCCTTGAACCCACAGGGCAGGTGGTAGCAGATCACAGGCTTCTCAGTGACTCGGAGGCTAAACTAATCATGCACGACTCTCTCACACGGTTGACTGACCTGTTATGTTTTTCCGTGTGGCAGCGCCCTTCTATACAGCCTGGACCCTTGTTTAATTGTGCAGACCATTCACAATAATTAATTATGAAGATGTGGTAAAATTGTCTGACTCGAAGACACACAGTCTTTCATTAAGGCATACAGGAGAAATGTGTCTGAACATCTCAAAATGATGTCCTGCATTCCACACATCGCCCTCATAATGCAGTTATACAACACTCCATCAACACACAGCCTTAAACTCAAGGCAGCATCTCATACCTGAAGGTTCCATTTGGAAATAATACATTCATCAAATGGGAGATTTCAACACTGCATTCTATAAATGTTTTTCAATCAAAATGCTTTTATAGACGCTATCTTGCAACCGTTGATGGAGTAATTAAAAGAGAATTAATTTCTAATGTCCAAATTGACGGGGGAAACAAAAAAAAGAAAAAGAAAAGGCTTTTTTACCTCTTGAAAAAAGCCCATTTCAAGAAGTAATGACTGTTAAACACTGCCCCCTACTGGCGCGCAAATATTACTACATTTCATTATCCTGCTGGCATGCTTGTGCACAGTACAGATTATTGTGTTGCAATTTTAAGCCGTCAAGCACATTGTTTTAATGTTTTTTTTCTTATTTTGGTGATGCCTTATGCTATTTTATTTTACAAAATATGTGTTGTCCATCTTTAAAATCCACTGCATTCTTGTTTGACAGAATCTCCAAGTGTACATGTGCATCATAATAAATCAGAATATCAGTTTGAAAATTATTTCAAAAGTTCATCTCTGAAAGGTCACCTCACATTACCCATGGATGTATTACTGGCAGGAATAATGCAAATGAACTTCACAGTGAATGGATAGTTTTCAGCCATGTTTGAAAAACGTTTATATTTTATTGGCTTTGAATTGTAACGTGTCTAACTAAATCTGGATTTTAAAGACATAATCGTCCTAATTAATAAAATCTGTGGAATAGATGTATATAATAAACTAGTTCTACCTGTAAAACTGAATAATTAAATAATTTTACTTCTTAATTATATTTGAATTTGTTGAGATTCGCCTTTATAAAGGTTAAAATATGGCCGCCTTCCAGTAAATCTTGAGTTGCCCTTGAGACATGAAGCAAATAGAAGCAGAAACATCACTTTGCATTCACATAGGCATTAAGTTCTAGTGATCATAAAATATGGTAAAATATGGAAATGGTTTGCTGTGGCAGGTGCAAAGCACAAAAATGATTAAGCAAATCAGAATGAACTGCCAAATGCAAGTATTTATTAGAAAACAGTGATTAATATGAAAATCTATCATATTCTATTTAACAGAAATGATTCAAATCGCTATTCCTATACCACAGACTTATTTAAGGTTGTGTGTTTTTAAAAGTCAAAATTAGATTTACCTCGTTTGTTAAGCTTTACCCCAACAAAAGTACCTTTCTAATACAGTCACAGACAACTAAAGTTAATAAACACATCCATAATCTAATTTAGAACTACAAAAAAAAACAACCCTCAGAAGTCCTTTGTTAGAATTATTATAAAATTTATTGTTATGAAAAATTCTGCAAATTCTATTTTGTTGCTATAAAAATACATAAATTGACATACATCAGTCAGATTATTATAATATTATGACCACGGATAAGTGACATGAACAATATCCTCGCCTATAGGTGAGAGATTTGGTCAGCAGAGGCATCCAGATGTTCATACTAGACTTTAGATGTCATGCCTAATTGTTGCATTGTATTTTCAATACACCACTTTATAAGGTATTATCAAGTTTATAGTTTTCTGAATGTCTGAAAAACAAATTAAACTAGATACAAGTCTAAACATTGTAATTCAAGATTCAGATGGAAAGTTGAGAGTATAAAGTGTAATTATCAGTGAAAAGATCACTAAGATTTTAAATGTACAAAAATATATACATTTCCTCAAATGTGTGTGTTGAACTACAGGAAGTATAGCATTTACAACCATAAATTTTATATTATCATGTGTACAATCAATAACTTTAAATTAGCTATTATTAACTTGCATGCTGCAATTTGAATTTTTAAAGCAAAAACACACTACACCCTAAACATGATTTGTGGAAACTTTTTACAAGACAAGATGCTGCTCAAGTTATTGGGAAAATAAGTAAAAATAAACATAGAGGACGTAAAGGGATGGACACGGGGCAGAGATTCATCTCCCAACAGGAAGTTACAGTGGAATCAACCTAAATGTTATTAAGAAGACTTAAATATGTCTTCTTAACTGAACTGAAACTGAATGACCTTGAGCTTTTGAAAACCAGAATGAGAAACATTTCAGTGTACTGCTGCACAAAGCAAAAGATGATTCTATGAAACTATATCATCAGGGGGATGAAGTTATATGCACGCTGCACATTAAATTTTTCATTCTCGAAAAAAAAGACTTTGTATTGTTTTCCTTCTGATTAAGAAATTGTGCACTTTGTCTTGATCCATCACTAAAAATTCCTCGAAACATACTGTGTAGCTTGTGGTTGATGCTTGTCAATGCAAGTTCATATTTAGAAAAAGATGGAGCACCCATCTTTCTTCAGCTTATCATAAATACCTCAACTTGACTATCTCAGAATAAAACTCCTTGTTACTTTTTATCTTGGTCTTTGCTCCTTTCCATCTCTCTTCTTTATTCGTTGGTTTCTCTTGGAATTGTGCCCATTTGTCATGTTGCCTGAGAGGCAGCAGATAATGTGGAGCTCCAACAGTTTGCCCATCTTTGTTCTCACTGAAGCTCTTATTTTATATTTTTGTCTGCGTAGGTTAATCTTCGCCTTCAGCAGATTGTAGCGCTACGTCAGCTCTTGTTCTTTTCTTCTTCCTCTGAGACTGTATTTTCTAGATCAGGCTACTCTCAGAAATCTTGTCTATTTTTTGGTCTTGAGTTTGTTCTGTGAGAAGGGGGAGACCGATATTTGCTGTATTAGTTTGGGTGGTGTTGGTCATTTATTTTGTAGGGTCTCCATTTCAGATGCTGTTTCAGAGAGGCTTTTGTTCCTCCACTGTCGTTTCTGAATCAGTCTCTTTGGCAGTGGAAGCGGGTGGAGCTTGCTCCTCGTTTTCTGATTCTTCTGAGGATGATGATGAAGATTCTCCATTACTTTTCTTTGCACACTCATCTGGGTTGATGTCTTGTTTACGTTCAGCCTCTGGTGCGCTCTCTGGAGAGTTTTGGCTCAAAGGAGAACTCTCCTTGGCAACAGGCGGTGGCTGAACATCATTTTCAGGGGTTGATTTTTCAAACTCATTCTCCTCTTTCTTTCTTCCCGAATCTGAAACAGACAGCAACAGTTGTGCTAGAACCCATCTGCTAAGAATTTGCAAATATGTTGAACAGTTCATTATAAGTAACACACACACACACAAAATAAATAAAAAAAATCCTCCCTGCATGCACTTTTTAGGACTGAGAAAAGCCAAAAAAAAAAAAAAAAATCACTTCCAAACAAAGCAATGGAGTGCATTAAAGGTAATCAAATTGAGTCCTTCTTCCAGGTTGTGACATGCTTGTGTAAATACAATTTAACCTGTCAGAACTGATGAATGTTAGTCATTCCTAAAGATGGAAAAAGTCATTCACAATAAGTGTTTTTCTTTTCTGAATCAGAAAATACTAGAACATCATGAATAAACAATAACGAAACCGCCGATGCTGAACCTTTTGTGTCGGGTTCCATATTCTGAATATAGAAGACATAATTTAATCTGGAAGCTTTGGAGATGAGGACATCATAAAAAATAATAATGTTGCTTTGGGTTTATACTTTATCTTTATGTATTCCACTTGAAAGAACAATGACAGTTTTGTAAGTGTTCTTTGATATGCAGAAACGGGTGAGAAAAACCTTCAAAGCAACCATATAAAAAGAAAATATGTGCTAAATAAACTAAAAAAAAAAAAAAAAAAAAAAAAAATTAACGGGGAAATCATAAAACCCGGGACCCCTTTTTTGTTATTTTCCTTTTGAAAAAAAATCCAA